TGAATGAATGAATGAATGAATGAATGAATGAATGAATGAATGAATGAATGAATGAATAAATAAATACAACACCACCACCAACACCACCACCACCACAAGGGATTAACTAACCACTTAGCTTTCTCAATTTTAAGAAAGAAACAAATTCTCCAGATAGTCAGAAGATGAAAGGTACAAGTCCTTGTGGTTGTACTGATGAAGAGCTTTAAAGAAGCCTGACTGATAATGGACTGCCAACTCTCACACCATCAGAGATGTCTGCAGAGAACAGTCCTGAAAAGTAAGAGAAAGAGGTAGAAAAAAAAGGATGCAGGACAACTATGATGAAAGACTAAGCTTGTCCAAACTGAGTTTAAAGTAGTGGCAACACATCCAACAGGAAATTCTAGTGAGGCAGTTGGTGAGGGAAGTCCACACTGTGTTATCTACCTGGATCTCATTGGCATAGATATAATCATTAAATGGAAAAGAAGAAATCAAAGAGCCAAGGAGAAGGATACAAAGTGGACAGAAGTGAACCTACGACCAAACCATGAAGAACACCCACAGATAAACTTCATCATTAAGGAAATTACTTTTATCAGGAAAATGAAGACTTGCCTTTATCAACAAGGTAAGTCAGGACTAGCCTTTCATTCTGTTGCCTTACAGAGAGAGTGAGACTGCAATCCCTTTGATTGGTATATGAACTTAGGTCTCCCTAGAATCCTAGGTCTCCAGACAATTTCACCTGGATGACTGAGAATCTTCATCAACATATCTTTCTAGATATGAGTTTTATTTTGTTGTGCAAATTAAACCCTTCAGTATGGCAACAGAGTTAGCCCAAAAGAATTTTCTGCCTAAGCAGTGAACAAGATGAGGCTCATTCACATTCTGTATGTAAGCTCCTAGTTTATTATCATCCATAGTAGCAATGAGATAATTGCTACATTTGAAGCTCTTTCCTTATTTCCCATTTTCACCTGCAGAGTTTTGTAAATTCCTATCATGAATTTAGCAGCAGTGCTAAGTAACATGAGATGAACTTACAAAAATCTGCTAAGGGAGAGAAAATAAGTCATATTTCATAGGCTTTCTTGCATATTAGTGTTGATGAGGAAGATAATGACAATGGGGAAGAGATAAATGCCTTTGGAAATTGCCCCATCCTTTTACTCCCCTTATATGAAAGAACACAGAGTAATTGCACAATATGAAAATGCAGAAAACTACACTAAGTCAATTTAAAAGGATTAGCCTTTCAAAATCCCTCAGTTATATCTAGTCTCCATTATTCCTCTCAAAATTGAGAAAGGTGGGATTTTTTTTCCCCAGTAAGCAAATTATGGCCCATTGCTTTGTCAATAAGGGAACAGTGACGTGCAAATATAGTCTAAATGAACATTACATGCACAACATTACAGCAGCAATTACATGGAAGTGAGAAAAACTTTATCTAAACCATAGACTTTCCTGTAAATGCTAGTTTAGAAGGCAATTCTTCCTTTTCTTGTATGCTTCAAATAAGTTTCCTAATGGTACTATTTTTGAAATCATGTTACACTTGAATTCATGATATAAAAATGCAATCAGGTTTTTTTTAATGATTTAGGACAAGGCAGAGAGGATGCATCAACACTTCCCCAAATGGTACTGAGGGCCTACTCACAGACATAATGTTCCCTCCATCTGAAGAGAAAATGCTTATTTGAATAGACTGTGTTGAGTTTTCTGCCATAAAATAGCTCCCTCACTCAGTGTTACCACCATACAGAATCTGAAGTTGCATTTGCCTCTTAGTCTATGAAGTGATGTCTTTCATTATGTCACTTCGTGGTAACTGCCCAGAGACAGCAGAAACCCTACACTCATTTATGCAACATTTAACCAGGTTTATCCCCTCAAGGGGCTCCTCATCAAAAAGAGATATGACAGCCCAGGTTCTTTGAAACATTATTATATCCTTCTTTTCTGGACTTCCTGATATTTTTAACTATTTGTTTTAGCCCACAGGTAATCACTTTTATGGTACTTCTAACCCGTATTTTAGCCGACATGTTTACATTTTATTTACTGTTTTTACAATGTATGTCTTAGATACTGCTTTTACAAGAATTTTACTCTGAAAAATGAGCTGCACATCTATTAAATGATAAAACATACAAATGAATGTAATTCTGCCAGGATTCAAGCAAAAATCTTAGGCATTTGTTGTTATTCCCTTGTTAGTTATCAGAAATATCATGTAAATATCCAGAAAAAAAGGTGTTTTTGGGGGCTGAGAATATATCTGATTATAGTGTTGGGTGCTGCAATTTGAAACAAACATTTCCCTTAAAAATATCTAAAGAATAAGTGTAAGATATAATTGTATACATGTACTGCATTATTTATCCTCACTGAAAAACATTATCAGCTATTCTTTTAGAGGATTGGATATCTTACTTCTGTTTTCATTATCAGGATGATACACATTTTTGTTAATGCAGCCAAATAAGAAATGATGCAACAGTTTTGTTTAAATTGAAAATACACCGCTGACATTAATATTCTTAAATTATTCTACAATGTCCATGTATGGACTCTTCAACAACTTTACACAATATAGAAAAAAAGTGAAGTTTTGTGTTAACAGT